TATTCATTACTCGCTAAATGGTAGAAATTGCGTGGGTGTCTCTTGATCCAAATTTAATTAAACGTTCATTTAAATGTCTGATGAAATTGTTATTTCTAACACTAAGACATAGCGATAGATGATAGTTTCTTTTCTCGTCATTGTTAATTTAAGTGATACAAAAATACGCACCATAAAAATATCCGTGCATAAACTGGAAAGTACTTTACAAGTGGAGGGTACTATACAGAGCGTTTTACGGTATTTTAAAAATCTCTATTTTTTCTAAATGATGCAAAAATCATAAACACCTATTTGAAACTCTGCTCCCACATATATAAAAACCGCTTAACCGATAATATTAACGTTTGATTAATCAGTTGAAGGTTTTTTAAGCGGTTCCAATTATTGCTCTTTATCAGCTTTTGCTTCAGACAATCCTTTAATTTCAAAGTTTTCTATGTGTGAAAATTCGGATTGCCTAACGTTAACGCTAAGATTAACAAAACTCATATCGATATGGTGTACACCAATAAATTTTAAAGTTCGATAACATCTTAATTAGGAAGTAAATATCGATATCGATATCGATAGTCAAAAAAAGATTTACCATCTAACAATCAAACAATTACACAGCATACACTACAACTATGTAAATAAAACATTCGAACGACAACGCAAATAATATCAGATAATGGAAAACGATTTATTCGATTTAAATAAGGTGATTTATGAGGACGCATTAAAAGAAGTTTTATCAAGCATAGAAACAGAAGACATTACCGATGCCTTATCTATAATCACTGAAGAATTTTTCGAAAGAATTGAATCGCAAGTACCTGAAATGGTTGAATATCTCCTCGAAAATTACCCACCAACCAAAGTATATCATGCAATTGACTATCATACGAATTCGCAGCACCAATTATTTCTTGGAATATTTTACTTAGCAATAGATCAACAAGAAAATTCCTTCTTAGAAATCAGCAAAGCCGCACGATCCATGAATCCACATGCGCAATACCTTCTTGGATGCTTTTACGGCAAAGAAATCGGTTTATATAAAAACCTCAAACTTGGATTTTTTTATATTCGAAGTGCGGCAGAGCAACGAATTCCGGCTGCTTATTTCGCTTTGGCACAGTATTATAATGGCGACCATGAACATAATCATTTCGTTTGTCATCAAAAGACCGTAAACAGTCGTTATGCTGGCTCAAAACCTTTTCTATCTATTGCTATTGCATATGAGGGTGGTATCGGGACTTTGTGTGATATCCATGAAGCTATTTATTGGGGTAGAAAGGGTGATGAAGTAGGATATAAATTTACATATAGTTATCTAGAACATCTTTTTAGATATAATCGTAATTAAACTTTACACCCTATGTCTAGTAACATAATCGAACACTAAAGCAAATCCCAAATTTATATTTCAATAATTTTATTAATAACTTTAATATTTGCAAATTTATAACGATGTCATTTTGTTCATTTGGCCAACAAGTATAAAGTTGTAGGCGTGTGCTGTTTTACATACCGATATATAACAATCACAATAAAATAAATAATCGGTGTTTAGCGTTAACAAATACATACAAATGGAAGTTAAATGTATGCATGTCTAACTAACGATAGGTAATAAATGGTTTCGCAAGACTATCGCTATCTCACATCTACGTTCATACTCAGCACATAATCGCTAAAACATTTAAATCATTTTTATAAAGATGGAATAATTCTATTACCAAACTGATTGTTATTGCGGTGAATGTAGGAAACGATTATGAAAAAATGAGTGCTACTGGAAATTTTTGGATTACACTAGGGAAGGAATCGATTCTGAGAATCGATTAAAACTTTTTAATCGATTAAAATTTGAGAACCGATTAAATTTTCATCGATTAAAATTCGAGAATCGATTAATCATGCATAAATGGTGTAACAAAATTATCAAAAAGAATAAACTAATGAGAAAATCTACTTGTAA